GAATACATTTATTTCTAATTAGTTCTTTACTTATTTAAGATCAGAGCATGATGTGTTGCATTTGAAGTATTTCTCCTTAGTTAGACAGTCAGGACCTGTTTATATGATTTCTTTATTCTACATTTAGACAGCAATCACACCTGGGATGAAAGGATGAAAGAATAATTACTTTTTCATAGACCAGCTTGGTTTGGAGAGCTTTTTAACTTTAATAATTGAAATCATAATTTGAAAACTTTTTTTATTTGCTTCCCTTGTCTTTTTCTAATAGTAAAGTTTCATTGATGATCTGAAACATTCAAATACAAGTAAAGAACAAACCTCAAAAAGACAAATATCTTTTCAAGGTATTTCAAGGTATTTGTCTGTTAGCAGTGAAACAAATTGATGTTGTGAGTCTCATCACTGAGGGCTATTTTAGCCTAAATTAAGAAATGTTGGACTTGACAAAGCTTGACAAACTTTTGCTGAAATTTTAATTCATGTGACACATATCCCAAAAAATGGGATCTCTTTAGTCACTTTGGTGAAAACCAATAATACAATGAAACCTGTCAGCAGCCCAGGAAGAATGGGAAGCAGGAGAGTGGAGTAACATTTTGTGATAAGAGATTTATTTTGGATGTTTCTAAATCTGTTTTGACATGTGGGACACTGGTGGGTTGGCTAAAGCTGCCTGATGCCAAACAGAAACAAGTCAGAACTAAAGCATCACAAAATCTAGAACAGTCCATCTGCAAAAAGTTGAGTGAGTTTGTTTTGTTTTTTTAGTGACAGTTAAGGATCCACTGACAAATATTGCAATTGAACTGTGTTGTCTTTGTAGCTGAGTCACAAACCTAGGGCATGTGTATCAACATCTCACCAGAAAATATTTAACTTCATATATTAGTGTGCTATGTTTTGTTTGTGGTATACTTTTTTGTATTAAGATTTTTTTCCACTAATAGATGTCAATTCCTTCATCTTTATCACAACAACTGGCCAACAGCTCTAAAATGGTGACTAATGTCAGAGACTAGCTGTGTGATCCTTGAAAAATAAAAACCTACTAAATACGGCTTCAGAACTGCAGCAGCCATTTCTTTGTGGTATGATTCTTTTTCATAGTTTGTATTTTATTTATAGTTATGGCAAATGGATGACTGGTTGGTTTTTATAATTTGCCACACCATGACAAAAAGATTTTACCTTTGATTATCTTTCAGATGTCTCACACAACATCAGCATTTGTGCAAAGGCAATCTGTTCAACTTAAGATAATTTTAAAAGAAAATAAATGGGGTTTTCATCCAAATGAGAAGACGGTTGGATAATTAATAGAAGAAAACACTTCTTCGAGTTCACACAGCTGTTTTAATCTGTGTAACACATTTGTCACTACATGCTTCTGTAGTGACAAATAAAAGTCACCACAGAAGCAATACAGAGTAGGCAACTTTGCAATATATTTGCAATTGCGGTTCACTGAAATAGCTTATGTGGAACATTCACACAAAAGAAAAAGGCTTTTAAAGAGCTGCTCATCGATCTCTGTGTGGAAAGGAGAAGATTATGTATTGGTCAGATATAAACTGTATGCTATCAGTTTATAGATATCAGAGTCATATTACCTTGTTGCCTACTTCCATGGATGGGTATCTCATGTTGCCATAAAAATTAGCATTATTTTCAGAGCTTTACGAAAGCCATTCAAATCTGCTTTTGATAAAGGAGACTTCAACAGAATAGAATAGAATAGAATAGAATAGAATAGAATAGAATAGAATAGAATAGAATAGAATAGAATAGAATCAGGAGTCACAGTACTCCTACCAAGTCACCATTCAGACCTTATAAAAAAGACAAAAACACAAAGTAGCAGAGATACCAAAATTCAAAAAGAGATTCTTCCCAAACTTGCAATGTAGAAAAGGATACACAAAAATATATTACGTAAATCAATTAAAAGGTTTGTCCTCTCATCCATATCAGACATCTTCTAATTTGTGATGCGATCAGTATTGAGGGTGGAAATCGAATTTGATGATGATTTATCAGAGAGGTTAATCTGATAAAGGTTTTAAATATATGTACCCAATTAATTCAGCTATAAACAAACCTACAAGTATCACTTACATAAATTTCACTCATATTTATTTTATTAAATTACCTGTCACTTTCTGTATTTTTACAACAGAGCATAAATTTTGATTTTTCTGTCTGCTTAATGCTTGTGGGGGAAATGTGAGAAATCCTGATGGAGGAGACAGTAGGTGGCTGTCAACGAGGGTTTGCTTCATCAGACGAAATTCGCTGCTTTTAATCCTCTCATTCACCCAGACAGCAAAGGCAGGATTACAGCAGAGGCCATATTAAAGAAGGCAATTATGACAGTATATGGCAATACACTGCCCTAAATTCAATTACCCTTTCTGGCACTTTTTAATTTTCTTTAATTAAGTGGATTAGGTAGAAATACATGTTCTTCATAAACCAGAGTGATTAAGAGTCTAAGTATGATGGAAAGCAATGAATGGAAAATGACCCATTTTAACTCCTGATTAGTCACACTCTTTCAGTTAAGTATTTCTGTTTTATGTGTCAAAGCAATTTTGTCAAAGGATCCATTTGTTGATCCAGCTGAGAGTTTTACAGAAGTCTTTGTTTTTTTGGTACTGATGTACTTTCTGCAGGGTATTTATCAATGACCAGACCTTGGAGTCAAGAAGAGTGTGGTTTTCTTCCTGGCTGTAGAAAAATGGACCACATCTTTATTTTTCAGGAGTTACTGAAATTTTTTGCTGTCTTGTTGAATCGGGTTGTTCAGGTGTCTTTATGAGTGATAGCAAAATGGAGCAGAAGGTGCATAGATGGATTGGTTAGGCTCTGTAGAAATGAGAAGAATCGGTTAATAACTAAAGTCATAATTAATGTTGCTGTAGATAAAACATTGAATTAGTTCAAATAAATTTAGCAAGTGAATTTTCAGAAGGATTGTTGAAAACTAATTAATATAATTAAATCAGTTCTCATGTAGAAGAATCTCTCAAATAGATTAATCAAGGTTAAAACCAAACAGTCTGAAATGGAAACCATTATTAAACCATTCAAAAAGTGCAGGTATTACAGATTTACTTCCACATGTTGAGATGTTAACCTCACCTTGGCATAAGACTGTGAATGATGTTTTTGTAATTTGATTGTTTTTCTAGCTCACAACTCTTTTAATAACAATTGCAATGTGCAAAAAGATTTTTTTTTTCTTTCAAGCAATACGATAGTTAATCATTGCATGAAGGTATTTGTTTTTCCAAGACGATTCATAAACTAGCCAAATAGTTTTTGATCATGCAACTCTTAAAAAAAAGCTGAGTGCTGTGTATCATTTCCCCTAAACAGAAAATGAATACTCATTTTGAACAAACTCAATATGTCTCAGGTGAAAAGTGGGTACTCTTTCTGAATGTGTTATTTCCTCACTCCAAATTCTCTGTGTCTTGAGGCCAGGACAGAGCAAATGCTGTATAATTTATTTCCCTTCCACACCGTTGAAATTAATTTATGTCGAATGTATTTTTCTGTCATGATGGCTGAGAGTGTGGCTGTTTCACCTCCGAGACAGGAAATATTTAAATTTAATAAGTTCTGGGTAAGCGATCCAGTCAGTGGGTGTTACAGATATTTTGCTAATGTGAACTGTCACCTAAATTAATCTGTTTTTTTTCTCTTTTACTTCTCTCTCTTTATGCTCTTGCCCTTTAAAAGCAATGAAATGACTCCTTATTTTTGTGTCTTTCCCTCACGTTTGCCTATTTCCTATCCCACAGTTCAAAATGACATCTGTTATTCTCATTTCCTGCTGTCCCACCTTCCTCTCAGCATAGGTCAGGAGCCCCATTATTTTGCATAATGCACATCATCAAAGAGCCAGTATCCGCCTGCATTATGGAAGTGGTGCAGTTCTCCTGCTCATGCCGGGTGATTGATCTTCTCCCCTGCTTCCTGTTGAAAGAGAGTACCTTTGTTCTTTCCAGGAGCCCTGTACATGTCTCTTGCATTATCTTTGTTATCATCTACCCTGTGTATCTATTTACAATTGTTAGACCTGTGGGTTTTCTAGCTATATATCAATCAGCTGATGTGGTGTCATAGGGGACAAAGCAGAAGCTTTTTTTATTAGTAGTATTTATTTATTAAAGCACAGATATTTTATCAGATGTATTTATATAGTTTTTTTTTTGTGTTTTTCATTGTAGTATGAAAAATATTACCTTTTTTCAAAAGAAAGGTTTTTCTCTGATCTTTTAGTGATTGATAATGCTTGAATTAAAAATTTAATGCAATATATTTTTATTCAGTTGCAGCAAACTTTCATCTTCAGTCAAAACCTTGCAGATTGATGGCCACATTTAGCTGTAAAAAAATACTTAATATCTAACTTTTAATATGCATGAGGGAAAATCACATTTAAAAAACCACTTTTTTCCTAATATCACCAGTGTTGTTTTCAATGCTTTGTATAAAATCTAATTCTGAAAATAGGGTAGGACTTCTATGACATTTCACAAGGTTACAGAGTGAGCACTGTTGTTAGCAAATATTTTGTTTCTAGAATAATTTATGTGTACGTACGTGTTGGCTCATTATGCTGCTAAAGGTAATCCATTTAATTTTTTTTATATATAATTCAAATCAATTTTGTACAAATCCTCCTTCTATTTAAAAAAAATTACACTATTCACTCTAACTATTGTCTCACTGCCTTAGAGGAACAAACAATCTCTAACCATCATAGATCATCATTCTTAATAGTGGGAATGGGATGATTAACCCAGTTGGATAGTTTGTTGCTGGAAAGCTTAATATTAGCCAATGTATCCATTCGTCATCTTCCACAATTCTTATTGTGTCTGTTAGTATGAATTCACATACTTACAAAAGCTAAGGCTATATACTGACTCATCCTGACTGTCAGTCTCATGAGTCAGAGCTGCCAGCAGGAGGCAGCTTTTTCTTCTGCGAGTAAGATGTTATGTCCTTAACGGCTTTCCGTCTTTCTCCTGACACGTAGCAACCACAGTGGAGTTGGCAGGGCTCAACAAAGTGTTGTCCAGCTGACATCACAGGTAAGGATAATCTTTGTTGCTTTTATATCATCAATGAGTCTGTTTAATTAAATATGAAACGTAAGCTGACTTTGGCTTTACGTGTACGGATTCTAAGAAAATTTTCAGCATCTGTTAGAGTTAGCAGAAGCTAACAAACTAGCCTCTGAGTAAACGGGAAGGTTAGCCTGCTAAAGATGAAAGGCTATATTTGCAGTTTTTCTAATATTTTTTTTCATTTTGAAGTCGTCTGATATTCTGTGTACTTAATTGCATATTGTTGTGTACTGTCTTGTGAAAGAACGTGTTTTAGGAGTGTTTTTCATTCTGTTTAAAGAAGTGTTAGCATTTTGGGAATGCTAACGGTTTGTTAAATTAAGCTATTCAACGCAGTTGTTACCAAAATACACGTAAACATACATTTGTCCGTTTTTTCTTAGAGGAAGCTGTCATTATTTCTTTACTTTGAAATCAAATCCTCTTTAGACTTATGTGTGCATTTTGTCTTGTGTCTTTATTGTTATAAAATAAAAAGGTTTCTAAGTATTTCAGTCATGTGTACAAGTTCCCATTTTCAGAACAAATAGATTTCCTTGTTAAAGTTAATCTCGGTACCTGGTTACAAACCTTTCAGCCTGCTAAAATTAGCTTTGATTGTGGATTAAAAGAAATTAGATTAAACCATTAAGCTTGCATTGACCAAAATGGTACTGGGAATCTTAGAAATTAAATAATTTCAATAGAGACTAATATGGTGACAGTGACTATGTTATTGAAATCAAAATTAGATTATGTAAAACATTAGGGAGCTCAGAAAAAAAAAAAAAAAACAATCTGACCTGCAGAAGAGATGGCCATCGTAATTATAGGTGTGGTGTTTACGATGAATGACGTACGTTTTATCTTTACGTTATTAGTGATGTTGTTTTATATATCTTTTGTTCCTGGGTCAATTATTTTTTTCCCTAATTTGTTATGCAGTTTAACACACACACAAATAAATCATTTCAGTTCTACATACTGAACAAATTTCATATTAGTGTATTTCATTTCTCTGTTGTAGTTGATTATTTTCATGTCTTAGGGAGAATTGAATATAGATATATAGATCTCTCATTGGCATCCATTATTTATACCTCTAAGTTAAGGGTTAAGGAGTGTTTTTCATTCTGTTTAAAGAAGTGTTAGCATTTTTATTTATTTTGTCCATATTAATTTTTTTTATCCTTTTGACTTCTACATAATTTGACAGGGTACAGACCTGATAAAATAACAACATAACTCTGACCTTCCTTGCTGCGTGAATATAATTTATTGGAGACATATAACCACCTTTTCCCAGTAGTTTATTATGAGTAGCTTATAACAAAATTTTGTGACTTAGTACAAATTATCCTCCTGCTAGATACGGCTTCATTTTAAATTCACAAAAATGTGAATTTAAAATGTGAAATGCAGGTGTCCACCAAGGAGAGGCGCCATTGCCTACCTACTAATTTTGCTGGCTCACCCACAAGCTTGATTGTGTTGAATGTATAATAGTTTTTTTGTTTGTTTGTTTGTTTTGTATGAAATGTGTTTAAAGTGACAAGTTTAATAAACCTCACTCTCAAATAATCCCAGGATAATGTATTGTTGACAATTCTTTGAAACAATTACAGGTGTGTATTTAAGGTCATTGTAGGTACTATAGTGTCACAATATTAAATGTAAATAAAACCAGTTGTATCTCTTTGGTATTAGCAGAGTAAGAATGTCGGGGTTTGATAACTTCAACACTGACTTCTACCAGTCGAGCTACAGCGTAGATGACCAAAACCAGGCCGGATATGGCTACAGCAACTCTGAAAACCCTTACAACAAGTAAGAGAAACACATTTCCTTATTTTTTTCTTCAGTTGTGATATTTCTGGCTTACGAAGTCTCATGAAAGTCGAAACTTACTTGAACAGTTTAGCTCATATCTACAGCATTCATTTAGTCCTTTATTTGTTTTTAAGCTCTAATTCAAGATCACAAACATCCTCCTTTTTGATAATTTTCTTCACAAACTTCTGTTTATTGCTAATAAATTGTCCACAGGCCGTATGGTCAGTATGATTATTCGCAGCCGATGGGCTACCCATCCCAAGGAATGATGCAACCCCAGCAGCCGTATACAGGACAGATCTTCCAACCCACACAGACCTACACCCCAAATGCATCACAGTCCATGTACAGTAACAGCTTTGATGACGAGCCGCCACTGTTAGAAGGTAAGTGAGCCACAATCTGACCATTGCTGAAAATAAAAAATAGAATATCTCTTTTTGGAATTCCCTTTTGATTCATTTGTAAAAACTTGGAACAGAAGCACCAATTGAATTTTAAGCCCAAAATAATTAATGGTATTGCTAGTATTGGTGTGACTAAAAACTACAACTGTTTCCAAATATGTTGCATTAAAAAGTCAGAATAACCGTTTTACAGGCATTTGATACAATTAAAAGGCTACCAAAGTTGAGTCATTTCCTAGAGTTTTGTTTTCCCTTTTCTTATGTGTTTAATGTGACTTTTTGTTGATATATAAAGATGTTCTCACACCAATATTTTACTATGTTGTTTCTTGCTACTGCTTCTACAGTATCCATGTATTAAATTAGGAAGGACATTAATCTCATCAGAAAAATTATGAGATTATTTTTTAATATAATGATTAGCTTTTGCGACTATGTGACTAACTTTCCCATTTTATCTTGACCACAGCTTTGTTCTAAATTTAATTTCCCAAACATATTGATTAGTTTTATTCTGAAACTTTAAAATTATGGCAGCTTACATACACCTTCACCATGATCACTGACATTTCTTAATTAGTAATTATTTTGAGTAGCTATTAGCTTTATTTTTTTACTGAAGTTGATTAAAACTAAGGTTTTAGCATCATAAAAGGTCTTTCATTTGAGATGTCGAGAGGAAATGTGTATTACAAATTCTCTAGAAAATAAGAATATAAGTGCTTCTTAATAAAGTTCAAAATAAAAATGTACAGACACTAAATCATTTTCCACAAATACTGGTTGTATTAATTCTTTCTTGATGTTACTCCATGTAGAATTCATATGCAGTATTTTTTGGCATTAGATATGTTCATACATGACCAAGACATCCTTAATGTAGGTTTTTGTTTCTTTTTGTTTGTAGAATTAGGGATCAATTTTGACCATATCTGGCAGAAGACTCTCACAGTTCTCCATCCACTGAAAGTAGCAGATGGGAGCATCATGAATGAGACAGACCTGGCTGGTCCGATGGTCTTTTGTTTGGCCTTTGGGGCAACTCTTCTCCTGGTAAATAATGGACTTAATTATGTTCTTCAGTCTTCACAGTCGTAGTAGGCTTCAGTCAATAAATCCATATCCTCTGTCTGTTTGGCACTTTTTCCCCCACTTTCCTATTACAGTCGGGTAAGATTCAGTTTGGTTACGTGTACGGCATCAGTGCGATCGGTTGCCTCGCCATGTACTGCCTCCTCAACCTCATGAGTATGACGGGCGTGTCCTTCGGCTGTGTGGCCAGTGTGTTGGGATACTGCCTCCTTCCTATGATCATCCTCTCCAGCTTTGGAGTTGTGTTCTCATTACAGTAAGTACATGGTCAAACTGTCTAATATTGACGACCTGGTCAGGTTTATTTGTCCAAAATACCAGAATTATTAGCAGTCATGGATTTTAGTTCAAAATAAAACTACGGTGTGTTCAGGTTTGTGAATGTTTATTCAAGCATTGGTGACTCTTAACTTACTGCTGTCCTGCTCTCTCTAGGGGCATGATGGGGATTATACTAACAGCAACAATTATCGGCTGGTGCAGTTTCTCTGCCTCAAAGATCTTCATATCAGCGTTGGCTATGGATGGGCAGCAGTCGTTGGTTGCTTATCCATGTGCTTTGCTATACGGGGTCTTTGCACTCATCTCTGTCTTCTAAAAAAATCTTTGCACAACAGTTTAAAGTAACTGCTCCCCACTTTCTGTATTTTCAGTCTAATTAGAATCAATGTAATTAGTGTAATTATTGACTAATTACACAGTTGCTGAAAAAAAAATTGGAGCCTCCTCGTCTAAATGGCATCTAGGATTTGTAAAAGCCGCCTCCTCTCGCCACATTCCGACCCGAATCTGTGAAGACTCAAGTGATTCGTATCATCTAGGAATCCTCTGCAGCTTGTTCCCTTCATGCATCTGAAAGAAGAGTACTGTTAAATAAATCTGATGGAAAAACAACCTGCTGTGGACCATTTTCGACCCTTATATGGCATCACACAGCCCAATGATTTTTATTTTTTTTTCTATTTGAGGACATAAATGAAGTCAACGGATGAAAAATCCAGGAAGTATATTCAATTAACACACCTGGGAACAGATTCTCAGTTTTTACAAAGACCCAGTAAGAAATGCCATAAAATTATGATTTGTATGAAGAGTTTATTTCAGGCAAACACCCACAGGATCTAAAACAGCAACTCTAAGGGAAGCAATCAACTTCCTGTCTGCATTGGTCCACAGCTGTTTATGCTGCTGTTCCTCAGTGGATGTTTTATTGCTCAAACCTTTTTAATCCATGGAGCCATGAGTCTTCTTCATCAGAAAGACATAAGCTATGCTGCATCTTCTGACCTATTTTATTTGATCTTAAGATATTCGTTTGAGCATCGTTGCCATTCAGAAAAACACAACCACAGTTGCACAGGGGTGTTGTAACAAAAATAAATGGATTAACTATTGGGAATAAGTAGTCTGGATGAAACTCCCTTTTGTCCTGACATACTTGTTTCTATACAGTTCTTTTCTAATTTTAGAGATTCTTCTCTGTATGCTTTGTGTATTCTGTACATGTCTGCTCATCCACATTAAAGTTGGTTTTGAAAGTTTTTGTGATTACATAATGCTTTATATGATCATCATTCTTGTGGAAGTTCCACAAATTACAAAATAATGAGAGGATAAACGGATTGAAGATGTGGACCCTTTTGTTCTCAACCACCTTTTGTGAAAAGCATCTCACTCGATCAATATAAATAATTTACATGCTTTGTCCACACCTTTATTTTGTTGTCTATTATAAATTAAAAGTGGCACTTACTGAAAGGTTTTGCAAAAATACTTATCAAAGTTTATATTATTTCTAACTTTGAAACTACAAAATTGAATCTTGTTTATTGTTTTCTTCTAGTAGTGTAATACAAAATAGTCTAGCATTACATGGAAGCAAAATGATTCATAAGTTACTGGCTGAGCAAGTCATCAGTAACGCTGGAGGAGCAGCAGAGAAGTACAGGTAGGAGATCCTTTTGACAGGACCAATTTCAATGGTAAACAAATCTGACCTTTAAGAGAGAGTGGAAAGAAGAGTCATTAAGGAGACTTAACAGTTATCTTTTATGACCTCCATGCAAAATGCAGTGTTTAGTGGGAAACTAAGTCTGCTCTTAAAAATTGACATTTACAGATTCATTCCATCCTCTCATTTGAGATGTTTTGCAATCAAAAATAGGAAAATATTTGTGTCCAGGGTCAAACAGATGGTAAAGACATGTGAGTTATTTATAACTGTAACTTGAATATAAGGTGGTTACATCAATACTGCAAACTGTATTTTGTTTGTTAGCGGTGAGTGAACACCTTTTTTTATTATGGCCACACTATTGAGATAAACCAAGTCACATTTGCAGTTATGCTGTTTGAAGTGTTATGCTCCTCGTCCTCTTGAACACACAAATACTGCAGCCTCTGTTTACCCAGAGTTATTCTTGTATGCGTAAAGGTAACAGGATGTTGGCAGTGATGCCACCATGTTTGCACATTGTTTGGTCTCAGCAAATTTGCATCATGTTTCAGTTGCAGAATCATACATCTCACTCAGGGGATTCAATGTGTTTTGGGGGATTTTTCTACATTTTATTTCTGACTTTAATAAGGTCTTATTACTGGCATCTGATTTCACTAACACTGATGTTCCCAATCTGTTTATGTTTTAAATGTCCAACCCCACAGTTAAGGCTTATTTTCTTTGTGGATCTGGTTGCCAGACATTTTGTGGGGCGTTTCCACAGTCTGGAAAAGTTTGGTATGAACTTTTACTATTAGGGGAAAAAATGAGAGTTTTGATTATTTCTAATGATTCTTTCTTTCCAAAAGAAAAAAAATATATTGCATTGTTGACATTTATTTATATTTTGATAAATCTAATCGCAATTGCAAAACCACAGCTTTCATCCAAAAACTTCTGGGTTTTAATTACTGATTGATGTAAATTTAATTAGATGACATTGTTTAAACCTTAGAGAAGTGGTAAGCACTTTAGAGGTCAGCTGAAGCCACACGTTTCAAACAACACAACCTCTCACAATCACTTCAGGTATTAAGCGGAACTGAAGAACAGGTTTCAAGGGAAATTTAATTTACACAAATCTGCCACTGGGTGTCAGTGTTCGGTTGCTTCTCAGAACATTGCTTTGTATTCTACTGTATGAACCGACTTCAGACTGATATTTTCCCCAGAGCGATGACTAAATCTTGACTTCTTTTTACATTAAGTCACCATAAGAAATTTACAGCCCACTGTAGACCAGTGGGTTTCATGAGAAAGTGGGTGGGTTGAGTTCCAAACCCACCCACCTTGAACCACAATGAACTGTTTCTCATATTTTTGTTATTTGCTTATTTGTGTGTTTTACTGTTTTCAGATTTTTAAAGTGATTATGAAAAAACTTGTATTTATGAACAAAGAACCACATTAGAAACTTTATTTAAATGAGACAATAAGGACATAATATATTAGAGACAATTTGTTGTAGAAGTCATGCTTCTGGGACAAACAACAGAACCTGACTGTAATAATGTTTTGTGGCTTAAAAGCATAATATCGATAGGTGTGTTGCTACTTTTTCTTTCTTTCTTTTCTTTTATTACATTTCATCTGTGGAACCTGCATCCTGATATAGAACCAACAGACTGCTTTGTTTGGGTCTGGGAAAAGAAGACCACCATAGCATTATGTCATCTAATGGAGGATAATCTGACTTCCATCTGGCCGGTGTGACTCACAGTCTGTCCCGCCCTCATCCTGGCTGTCCAGTGGCCAGCAGCTCAGGGTTGACGAGGAATAATTCTAAAACAGTTCAATAAAAATAAAGAATAGGAAGGAAACACATCATTAAAACAGATTATCTGCTTTTGCATTATAGTTTGTGGACTATAACATAGGAATTACGAAAATGAGCTGCAGACGTAAAAGCTTAAATCCAGATTAACTAGAATATTGCATGGACAACAGTTCATGTAGTATTTATCTACTCTAAAAGAATAATTCTCCATAAAGGGATCATAGACGGCATCATTAATGTTTGAATTAATCAAAGATAAAACTCTTTGAAATGACTTTGGAGAATTCTACACAACATTTCTTCTGAGCAGCCAAATCCATCGTCTTTTAAAAATTACAGAATAAAGTTTGAACCCCTTCACAATAAACAACTTGATAAGCCATTCACAGAAAGTTATGTTCAAAGGATGAGGTAAAACTGGCCAAATAGTGCATGAAAACTCTGTTTTTATTTAACCCTTAACCTTATTAACATTCTGTTTACTCCCCTTGCCCTGACAAAAGCCCCAAAATAAAGTAGATTAATTGAAATTTAAATCCACAATCTATTTTGCATGATGAAATAATCTGATATTTATCAATTCAACTCAAATGAATTCATTTTTTATCATGTGTTTTTGTTAATGCAAAAAGATGATCAACAGTATTACATTCTTGTTTACTTTTTACCACAAACCAAGTGATGTAGCAGTTTACTTTTACACAGTAAAGGTTTATTATTGTAATTATATAAATGTGAAGTTATTACTTTTGAATTAATTATACTGAAAAGTCAACAATTTTGTCAACGGTTCAAATGAATGATTAAAATATCTATCAAAACACAGCAAAACAAAACGTTAGATTTTTTAAAAACAATTTTACATCAGTTCCTATATTGAGTTATTGTTCAACATCTCATAATTTTATGGGATGTTGAAGAACATCTTCTGCTCAACATGAGGTGTTGAACATAAAATGAAGATGATGTTCATTTCATGAAGGTCCTGTGGGGCAGTGAGCTGGCGAAAGTGTGTGTGTGGGGTGTTGTGTGTTTATGTATTAGGAAAAGTTTGTGTGTGGCCTTTGAACTCTTTCTGGTGTTTAAATGTTTTTATAATTCACGGGTCCAAAATGACCCATAGGACAATCCTTGTACCCTAGAGGTGTACAGCCCACAAGGAAATATAAAAAACAAAGTATCACTTTTTCTAACGGGGTCAATTTAGGAAAAGTCATAAAATTTCAAGTCGGAAAAAGATTGTTCAGGGTATTTTTTTCTACAGCTAAACATGCTAGTGGGTCATTTTTGACCCGCAAGACAACACTAGGGTGAAATAAATTAACAGCTCAGGCAATAACTTTTTAAATTATTAATAAGCCTTTTATAGTTGTAGTTTACATTTTGAGGGGTATGTTTGAGAAAATTTGATTTATAAAAATGTTTCATTTCAGAAAAACATTACTTTTCTAATCCTCCGAGCAGTGAGGGTGATCAGGATGTTACTTTTGCTGAAACAAGTGACAGGCTGAAATATAATGATTGGTATTCAGCAACGTTGCGCCGCCTTTAAGTACATCTGCAAAACCGACAACGCATGAATATTCACTGAGCAACTGTTAACACAGCACTGAGTGTGATTTTCTCCTGCACTTCATTAGGCTAATTGTCAGCCCTCATTGCACTGTGGACTAATCTAACAGTGGATTCAGAACTCAATGAACCAATGCAAACATTGCAGAATCTGGCAGAGGAAAGATGAATGATATGTTCATGAGCATGTGCATCAGTGAATTTGCATTCATGGATGGATGCGAAGGTAATGTGTGCTTCAATGACTTCTGTGAACATACTTGTTTGTGTTAGGGATTTAATCACAGAAAGCCATCTCCAAAAATAAAAGGTAAGACATTTTATTTAAAAAAAACTAACTTAAGTTTTAGTTGAATAAAGCAGAAAGAAAGCACACACCATCATGTGAAAGAAAAGTCGGTATGTTTTTCAGTATGATTTTAATGGTGTTTTATAGACTAACAAAGATTAGAACATTGTTTTTAAAAAAGGAAATTATAAGGATTATTTGTAGGTGTGAGTGTATAGTTCCACCACACAAATCATTTTGCATCCAGGCCAAAAATATACTTTTTTCTACTTCAGTTCGCTTTTAGCCTACATTTACTGTGTAAACCCATGGCAAACCACAAGCAGGACCTCTAATGTCTTAATAATAGCAGGTTTGTGTTGTGCATCACTAATAGCTATCCTGTCAACCTCCTGACAGAATAACTGTCATGAAGTTTTAAGGTTAACTTGTGAGGTCTTAAAAGTTAACTTTTTAAAATTTGATCAAGCATGTTCTCTCAAAACATTCAAACCTGGTTAGACATTGTGAAGATTTTACCTTCATCATTTACACTTTATCATTGTTTAGTGAGAAGTAAGCTGCAGTCGGTGAGAAATCATTTCTTTGTTATCTTAATTTAATAGTCTGTTATTTCACAGTCCTACAAAATGAAACAGAAAGTGAATGAATTACGAAGGTTTTGTTTGTACTGTTTGCTTCAGTTGCTTCATGTTTGAGATTCGGCGTGGAGCATCTGGACAGGACTGGGATCCATCTGGTCCTGCTGGGCAATTCTCATTCAGAATGCATAACATAAGTGTGATAATTCAAATCAGGAGCATTCAGTTGCAGCTAAGACACACAAGCTTCAATGTTGCTGATATCACTGGGGCTTTTATTAGAAGAGCTGTGACTCATCGCTTGTATTTGTCTTTTCCTTGTACTTTTTTTCTCAGATGTTTATTTGCCATAATTCTGATAGCTCCACTTAGAAATGTGCTACATGTGAGATAAAATGGAATCCCTGACTGGACAGGACATATGTTTAAAATCATACTGTCAATATTGTAAAACAGCATTTTTAAAATGAGATTTTGACCACTTTTTGTTGTAAACTTGGATTTACTATGTGTTCAGTGGAAGACACCCAGAGACGACATGAAGGATGTTAGTTCACAAAATTGAGAAACGTACTAAGCAGCTGATACTCACAGACAACTAGAGTATTTGGAGAGAACCTCATTGTGCTACATGCACAAAAGCTTCAAACCTAAAAACCTTCTTACTCCAAGTCTGCAGTTCCAGCACCTGATCTCTTTTTTTTTTTTTTTGTCTTTGTGTTTTTGCTAATATTTTATAGTAGGACAACAGTAAAAAAGAAATGGCCTGGCTTTATGTTCCACTATAGAAATCCTCTCAGTGAACAAGGCTGGGTTTGTTCAATTTGAACCACCAAACTGCAGGTGTTCAGAAGCCTGTTGTTTCTTTTTCTTGCAGTTGCTAGTCTAATAAAATATAGATATGCCTTATTACCCTGCCTTTTTATTTATTAATGATAGCTTCCTTCTTCATTTTTCAACATAATTTCTTCTGGTCTGATTGTTATACAATCCCTCCATGCAGTAACCAAAGCTTTTGACATATCCTTAATGAAAACGCTGAGCAAATGTATTTACTGATCACAGGTCCCAGAGCTCTGAAGTTACTAAAGTGTCACAAAAATACCATACATAACACTCAATCAACAACTGTCTTATTAGAACCCTGTTCCCAACAACTTCCATAATAAAGATTCAGAGCATGTAAACTAACAAATGCCACACATGCAATAGATTGCAAACATATTGCAAGCTTAATCTGAAATTCATTCTTCTCTGCTTTAGAACAGCATAAATAAAATGTTTTGGGTGGGGAGGGACCTCATTGTTATGATGGATAAACCTCTTTAAGCTTCCTCCAGAACCCTAAAATTAACAGGGCAGCAATTAAGTGAGATGCAAAAAAAAAATCTATGTATAACTCGAACAGAAGAGCTCAAGCAGAAGAAAACGGTCTTGATAGAACCTTGCATAACCTCAAAGCTTAAATTATTCATTAAATGGCCCAGCAGTCAGAGTTTGGAGTTTGATATTCTGGACCGAAACACAGACAGAATATAGACATCTGAGAAGGAAACAACACTGTCATGGTAATTCAACCACATAAACAATGATGAGGAATTAAGTAACCCAGCAGTTTGGGCGAACTCTAACGCCTGACACCAACTCTTGCAAACATTTCCTGTCTGTCACCTTCCTCACATCCAATAGTTATTCTAGACAAACAGAAAGAAGGAGAAAAACCCATGAAGTAATCGGCAATCGAATCTTATCTCAAAGCTTCCATGTTCAGTTTTTCAGGAGCCGCTGTTTGCACATGGAACAATGAGCAACATGGCATTGAGCTCCCTGCAGGTGTCATATCTTACCGATGTCATCTATTGTTACAGCTGGCAGCAAATGTCCATGTCAAACACAGTTTGGTTGCAAGACAGATAAATATTTGTCAATTCACATCTCAATACAGCATAGCCACAATTGTTGTCTAAATTTTTATTGACTTGTTATTCATGCCTCATTTAAGTTGAATGTCTCTGTCCTTAACCAAAGAAAATAATCAAAAGGGGTGTACCCTGGAAAATCAAGGCAATGACAAATATGTTTGAGTTATTGGTCATCTCTCTATTCTCCACCTAGATCAAAAGAGTGTATATTGAGCAGATTAATGGTGGCTAAGCAAATGTGCCTTATCTTTATGATCCAGGTTCATGGGGGAGCTGAAAATGTAGACTTTACACAGAATAACCTGGGTAAGATTTAAAATCAGAACCTCATTTCCTGCTAGTTGGCCAGGATTAAGCTGAAGTGCTTCTAACCTGGGAAAACCTTATGATGGAGAGTGTAGATGGGGAGTAAATTCTACAGTTGTCTCTCTCAGATTGATCACCCCTGTGGTCTGTATCAGATAAGTAGAAAACCATTTGTAACCATTATATTTGTAACATGATAAGAAATTGCAAAGTACGAAAAAGGAAACATGGGTTTGAAGAATGTACCAATATATGGAGAATCAATGCAGGTGCATAAAATGAGTGCAAGGCAATTAGAATAGTCTTCTGGGTGTTATATCCACCACTGCTGCCTC